TTTAATGTATAGGTGGTGGGTACGAAGGCGCTCAAGAACAATGCAGACCTGTTTTCTGTGATTTTCAAGATTATCAGAAAATATCAGGATATCATCCAAATATGCCACAACAAACTGATCCAGGAGATCCCGTAGTACATCATTGATTAGATGCTGAAAAGTTGCAGGGGCATTACAAAGCCCAAATGGCATTACTAGATATTCGTAATGTCCGTACCTGGTTCTGAAAGCTGTTTTCCATTCATCATTTGGTCTTATGCGAACCAGATTATATGCCCCCCGTAGATCAAGCTTCGTAAATATTTTAGCTGAACGAAGTCTCTCCAGAAGTTCAGGAATGAGAGGCAAGGGATAACGGTTTTTAACAGTGATTTTATTAATGTCCCTGTAATCGACACATGGCCGTAGACTGCCATCTTTCTTTTCTACAAAGAATATAGGAGCTCCTGCTGGAGAAGTGGATGGTCGAATAAAGCCTTTGGCAAGATTTTCTTGTATGTATTCACGAAGTGCTTTCAATTCAGGCTCAGAAAGGGAGTATATACGGCCAAATGGGATAGCAGCTCCAGGTAGCAGCTCTATGGGGCAATCATAAGGCCTGTGAGGTGGAAGCTGATCAGCATTCTTCTTATCACAGACATCTGCAAAATCCCGATATTGTAGCGGAAGCTTAGTTAAGTTTGTAGCAACCATTTCATTAATTGTTGTGGTAACAGGTGTCGCCTTAGAGGGTTGACAATTCATTAAGCAGTGTTCTGAAGGAAAGGACAAAGTTCTAGTCTTCCAATCAATCTGTGGGTTATGCAGAGCAAGCCAGGGTATACCCAAAATCACTGGAAACTGTGTTGAGGAAATTAGGTGGAAAGATATAGACTCATGGTGATTCACTTCCAGAATCAATTTTAAGGGCACAGTCTCATGTGTAACCGGGCCTGACGTAAGTGGAGAACCGTCTACTGTTTCCATTAACACAGGTGAAGATTTAGGGATAGACTGAATTTTATTTCCTGCTGCAAATTTAATGTCCATAAAGTTTCCGCCTGCTCCGGAATCTATCATAGCTGTAGTTGAAATTTTATTATCACCATATTGCAAAGTGATAGGCACCACCAAATGAGGATGTTGAGTCATCATACCTTCTTCACCCTGAGCCAGAGAAAACAAGGGTTGTGTGACAGAATCCAGTTGGTCTGAAATCTGGGATTGGTGTTGAATCTGTGCACCCTCAGCAGTCATAGCTATTGTTCTTTTAGACTTGTTAGGGCAATTGATGGCATAATGCCCTGCACTACCACAATACAGGCATAAGTTGTGAGTGCGTCGCCACTGTTTTTCTTCATTGGATAATGGCCCTCTTATTAGATCTACCTGCATAGCCTCAGGTTCAGAGTCTGTAGGTGTTTGTGGGGTCGGAGTAGAAATTCTTGAATAGAAAGTAGGAGTAGCACTTGGTTTAAAAGTCTTTCCAATCTTCTTTCTGAAAGTCTCCGATCAATACGGATAGCCAACCGCACAAATGCATCAAACTCAACAGGAAGATCAACACGAGCTAGCTCATCTTTTATAGCTTCTGAGAGACCCCTTCTGAAGTGGAACCTCTGGGCTGATTGGTTCCAAGTAGTATCAGTAACCCACTGTCTGAATTCAGCAGCATATTCAGCCACAGAGCGCCTCCCTTGATGTAAATGAAGGAGAGTGGCTTCTGCTGTAGCACAGCGATTGGGATCATCAAAAACTAGGCACATGGCCTCAAGAAAGTCTTTTAAATTTCCCAAGACTGGACTGTCCTGTTCCAGAAAAGGGGAGCCCCAGGCCAGGGCTTCATCTTTGAAGAGGGAAAAAATAAATCCCACCTTCTCTCTTTCAGATGGAAAACGGTTAGGTAACATCATGAAATGCAAACGGCATTGATTTAGGAAACCCCTGAATTTTTTGCGGTCTCCTCCAAATTTTTCTGGTAGAGGCAAGCGGGCATCTTGTGCAGGTGTAACAGTAGTAGTAGCAGCAGCCGCAACATCATGTGCCCTGTAGCTGGTAAGCTCACTATGCATTGATCGAACTTAATTTTGCAGTTCAGCTACCTGATCCTGCAGCACTTGAATGGTCTGTGCCTGGGTCTGCATAGTTCTTGCATTAAAAGCAACCTGCTGGGCCAATGCAGAATCTGATCCGACGGTCTCCATGAATGGGCCAGATTATTCTGTAATGATATTGATGTTACAAAGTTTTGGAGTCCAGTAGCCGGATCAGCAATGTTTTCTGCCAGAGGTAGCCACTCGTTACCCAGGTGGTTGAGCCCCTGAGCCTTGAGTGGCCTTCTGGTCTTAAGCAGAGATGGGAGACTGGAACAGAAAGATGATAATCGTAGTGAGGCAAGCCGAGGTCAGTGGGAAGGAGAAGCAGCAAAGTCAAAACAGTCCAAATTCAGCAACAGGAAGGAGAAACAGGAACACGCTTCATTAGAGAGTACAGGAACCACAATAATCTGGCAAAGGTACAGAGACAGGAAGTGGCTTTATAGGCCAAGAACCAGACACCTGACCAGACACAGCTGAAGAGAGTTGTCACTGATAACCTTGACTCTACAAGCAATGGTATCAGATCTCAGGTAAATTTGCAAAAGGCAGGCTGGTGTAGTGGTAAGGAAGAGGTTTAGCACCATGTAAACCAGGGTTCAAAACCCAGCAGAGTCAGTTCCTCACACTGTGTGTTATTGCGAGTCTCTGTCACTGTGTGCACGTGGCTGCATAGATCCAAGCATTCACAATCAGACATTAACCCTAGATACAAACACACCCCTCCAATCAAACATACTGTTTCAAACACCAAGACTACATACAATAAAACCCCTGTGTTAAAAGGCCAATATTATATACAAACATTGCTGCATTTAAACACCAAAACTACACAAAAATATACTTCTTTGTTCAAACATTTACACAAACACTAAATATAAACACACCATTGCATTCAAAACAGTACATACAAACACAGCCACATTCAAATGCCAACGCTATACAAAAAAATAGACCTCAACGTTCACACACATAATCTATACAAAAACATGCTTACATTCAAACATACAAACACTGCCCACAAATAAAACCCTTTAAGAATGGGCAAATGATAGATCCCCAGCTGGTAACACATTATGGAAGATGTTTGACAGATGAGAATCTACCTTTCTGGCGCTGGGTGGAGGGGAAGGGCACAAATTTCTCGCACCACTGCCTCTATTTTGTTTGTCTACATCTTAGAATCATGTTATATCTGTTTGTATATTATAGATGCATTATAAACATTTGGCTATCCCATTTCTCTTTTGCAGAAGGAAGAGGATGTTTATTTGGAAGATGTCCATGGACTGGGAATGTAAAAGAGAAATAAGGAGGTGGGGGACTGTGAATGTAATGATAGTGGTTCACTTGATACATTGAGATGATTGATATGGCATTGATTTGACTGCTGACTCCTAATCAGATCCAAGATTTTGTGGAGAAGGTCTTGGTAATTAAGGAACAAAATTCTCTTCAACACTTTTTGTTGAATCAGAAAAAAAATTATCATAGAGTGTGGTCACTGCAGTGGCAAAAAAAAAAAAAAATCACAAAATGGTCCCTTTCTAGTAAGCTGCACATTGTGTTGATTCTTGTTTTCCTGATACTTTTTGTTGAGGTAGTCACAGAGAGGTGAAATCTCTTCACAGTAGCTCTTCCACATGGATAGACTTGATTGTGTTTGTGACTTTCAGAGTGGCTTGAGATCAACATTAGCGAATGTTGTGGTGTGTATACCACAGAGTCTGTCCCTTTTGTGCTGTTGAAATATGTGAAATAATGTTAATGCAGGGATGGGGAACCTTCGGCCCTCCAGATGTTGTGAACTACATCTCCTTTGATGCTTTGCCAGAGTTAGGGCTGTAAGAGCATTATGGGAGCTGTAGTCCAAAACATCTGGAGGGCCAACAGTTCCCCATCCCTGTGTTAATGACATGCTTTAGATTCATTTCATGTTAAACATTAATGTCTTAAAGGGGAACTGACAGCAACATACCGTATTTTCCGGCGTATAAGACGACATTTTAACCCTTGAAAATCTTTTCAAAAGTCGGGGGTCGTCTTATACGCCGGGTATCGTCTTCTACGCCAGGTGCTGAAACCGGACTGGAGAATCTGTGGGTAATGTTAACAGGATTGGTCAAGCTTTAAGTTGCAGTGGTTAAGTGGGGGTAGTTTATACGGAGACAGCCTGGTCTATGGGACGAGTGTACTATAATTGGACAGTCACACAAGGACGCTCTACTAATGCGGAACTCCATGTACCGGTATATGTCCAAATATAGTACACTTGGTCTGCCTACTCAGGTGACTATAACAGAAGTTACCACAGCCAGCCATTACGTCGCCGCATATAGTCGGGAGAGCTCAAAAACGTCCGTGGCCGCATTCCCGCCCTATGCGGCGACTGTTTGAAAGCAGCAAGGGCGGTGCTGTAGAAGAAGGCCTTGTATCCTAATACCGTACCTCCTTCTCTGCCTCTCAGGTCTCGCACATGCGCAGATTCACTGCAGTCCTAAGGAGCGAGATCTCAGATCTGCAGTGAAGCGGCGCAGGCGTGCATGTGCAAGATCTGAGAGGCAGAGAAGGAGGTACGGTAATAGGATACAAGGGCGGGCCAGACGAGTGAAAGAGGCGTGTTTGCCATAGTCTTGGAGACAGGGAGGGCTGGGCAGGCAGGGAGAGCTGATCAATCCAACCAGCCAATCGCCGGTAAGGTACATCACTTGCCATGATTGGCTGGTTGTTTTGGTTAGCTCTGTTTTGGTTATACTGGGTACCACATAGAGTTCAGCACCAGTATCGGTACCTGTTCTTACAGTACAGTACCAGTATCTGTACCTGTTCATACAGTACAGTACCAGTACAGTAAATACAGTACATACAGTACAGTATACAAATGTCCAACAGTCAAAACCCCATCATGGCTCCACCAGCAAAGAAAGAAATATGAAGCCAGTTTCAAACTTAAAGTTGTAAACTTTGCCATGGAACATAATAACTGCGCTGCTGCAAGACAATATGGAGTAACAGAAAAGATGGTTCGGGATTGGAAAGCAAATGAAAAAGCATTAAAGAGTATGCCAAGGGGTAAGTGTGCATTAAGAAGAGGTACCCCACATTGGCCAGAACTCGAAAAACATGTAGCAGACATGGTGAATGAGCATCGCCAAAACGGTTATGTAGTGACACGAAATAAAATAGGTTTGTTTGCACTTCAGTGGGCCAAATCTAACCCAGATCACAGCAACAGATTTAAGGCCACTGTATCCTGGTGTACTAGATTCATGGGAAGGCATAATATGGTACTGAGGCAAAAGACGAAAATTGCCCAGAAATTACCTGCAGATCTTGATAGCAAAGTACATAGTTTCCATTGATACGTAATACAGCAGCGTACTAAACATGGCTATGCGTTAAGTAGTATTGGAATTATGGATGAAACTCCAATGAATTTTGATATGGTTGGAAATAAAACAGTCCATGAAAAAGGTGAAAAAACTATTTTAATTAAAACAACAGGACATGAGAAATCCAGTTTTACAGTGGTACTAGGATGCACAGCTGATGGTGCCAAACTGAGACCAATGATTATTTTTAAAAGAAAAACAATGCCAAAACTCAAGTTCCCTGTTGGTTGTTTTGTACATGTGAATGAAAATGGCTGGATGGATGAAGAAGGGGTAAAGCTATGGCTTGATAATGTATGGCGCAGGCAACCAGGTGGACTTATTCAAAAACTTAGTCTACTGGTGTGGGATATGTTTAGGGCTCATTTAACTCCCAGCACCAAGCAAAGGCTTGCAAGACTAAACACAGATGCGGCAGTTATTCCTGCAGGATTGACATCGTTGGTACAGCCACTGGATGTGTGCCTAAACAAGCCATTTAAAGATCGCATTCGAGAACGGTGTAATGAATGGATGGTTAGCGGCGAAAAGTCATTCACAAAAGGAGGAAACATGCGTGCTCCACTGTTGGATGTTTTGTGCAAGTTTGTCATAAAAGCCTGGAATGATATTGATGCAGAAACAGTAATCAAGTCCTTCAAGATGTGTGGCATATCAAATTCATTAGATGGTATGGAGGACGACTAATTGTGGCAAGATGAAGAGGAAGCCAAAGCTGAGACCACACCATCTGATACACCATCTGATACAGAATTTGATCCATACGATGACTGCATTACAAATGTATCACAAGATGTCATTGATGTACTTATGATATCAGATGACGAACGTATTTTTTTTTTTTTTTTTTTTCTTCCCTTCCCGGATTTTGAAGGCTTTTAAAGGGAAACTGTCACACCAGCAAAACCTGTAAAAATACAGTGGTTTGCAGTTATGATGGGCGTTGCTAACTCGCCAGGGACTTGCTCTCTCGCTATTGTTTGCTATCTTCCTCCTATCATCAGCAGTTCCAGTTTGGTTGACCGCTTAGAAAACAAACAGCATGGCAGCTCCCATGGGTTTATGGTCTTATCCTTCCTTTCAGCTTTAGAGTGAATTAGGAAAAGTTTAATCCACTTGCACTGTTTTATGTTTACATGTTTGATGACAAACAGCCTTATGTTTATAAGTGACAGTTTTCCTGCTAAGTACCTGCATGTCATAAGCATTTGAATTAAAATTACCATATTGAAATCAAATCTGATGTTTTTTTTAATTTTTATTTGGTGTGCGTTGGAAGAGGGGTAGTCTTATACGGTGAGTAATTTCCAAACTCTATATTTTAACTGGAAAAGTTGGGGGTCATCTTTTACGCCCAGTCGTCTTATACGCCGGAAAATATGGTAACTACTAAACTCAACTGTAGTTATGTTGCAATCAGTGCCCATTTAAAGGAACTCTAAAGCGTAATGAATAGAAACCTGTTTTACTAACACTTTAGTGTCCCTGTTTAAAAACAGGTGTGTGTGTCCCCTCACCCTACCCTGTTTGCCATGTGAAATAAAAAAAATAAAGGATCTAGTTACCTTTTTCATTGCCAAAACTCCTTTGGCACTGCTTAGCTCTCTGCCTCCCCTGACATTACAGAGGAGGCATGACCAATGACCTCATTCACCACTGTCCAATCCAATGCTCCTCACTGCTGACTCAATGAACATGCTCTGCAAAATCAATGGGTGCTTACAAGTCACGCGACTGTGTTTCACTTGACTAGTGCCACAGGAGCACCTATACTGGCTGTAAGTATGACAGCAAGTAGAGTAGGGTTTTAACCCTTATATGTGTTATATTGGAGGGTTACAAGGACATATTGGGCTTGGTTCATGATTCTTGTTCCTGGCTCCTGATCCTGGTTCTTGATTATTGTTTCTGGTTCCTGTTTCTTATCCTAGTTCCTTATTTCTGGTTACTGATTCCAGGTAAAATCTTCTTGGCTTTGACCCTGACCACGCTTCTTGTTTCCAACCCTTAAACCCTTGCATCCTGCTCCCAATTCCTGTTTTTTCTGGCTTTATGCTTGACTTCACTCCTATGCTGCCAGCCCTGACCACTTGAACACCTAACACCACTTCCTGTCTGCTCCTTTCTGGCTTTATCGCTTGCTCTGTAAATAAAGGCACCCATAGATCTCACAGGTTCCCGTATTAATCTCAGGCACCTGGGAAGGTCATGTTTGCAAGAGGGTGCCGTTCTGTTGTAGAGTTCATCTACAAGCAAACCAACCAGTAGGTTGTCACACAAAGATTGCCTAACCCTGGCAAAGAGTGTTGACTGACACTGTCCCGGCTGATCAGCAGCACCCCTGGGGCTTCCCTGAGGCTTCCTTGTTCAATAATCTCAGGAAAAAAGGACAGGGGTAGAGCTAAATGGCACTGGATTCAATAATTTAAGGTTAAACCATTTGTGAACAGTTTACCCCTAAAAGTATGCTGGTACTCCTGGCACCATAACACTCTGAACTCCACAATCAGCCTATCACCAGCAGTTTGGCTGCATCCTCTCACTGCATGCACCCAAATACCATAGACCTAATGTTTTCTGCTCTTCTCTTCATGCTTTGCCTTGCTGTCCCATCCATCCTGTAAACTTGCTCTGCTTCCCAGTTATTGGCAAGTGCATATCTAGGATGACTTCTGTGAGAGCTAGTTATATAGTGCTCTTCGTGAAGGATGCTTTTGATGCCACGTTCTTGGATTGGCTTTCCATAACCCAATTGAAAAGTACACAAAGGCATCAGTTTTCTTCTCATTATCCTAACTCAACATATTTAAAGGACCACTCTAGGCACCCAGACCACTTCAGCTTAATGAAGTGGTCTGGGTGCCTGGTCCCTCTAGGATTAACCCTTTTTTTTAATAAAGATAGCAGTTTCAGAGAAACTGCTACGTTTATATTAGGGTTAATCCAGCCTCCAAATCCTCTAGTGGCTGTCTCATTGACAGCCGCTAGAGGCGCTTACGTGATTCTCACTGTGAAAAATCACAGTGAGAACACGCAAGCGTCCATAGGAAAGCATTGTAAATGCTTTCCTATGAGACCGGCTGAATGTGCGCGCAGCTCTTGCCGCGTGTGCACATTCAGCCGAAAGGGATGAGAGGCGGAGGAGAGGAGGAGGAGAGCTCCCCACCCGGCGCTAGAAAAAAGGTAAGTTTTAACCCTTTCCTCTCCCCAGGGCCAGGCGGGAGGGGGACCCTGAGGGTGGGGGCACCCTCAGGGCACTATAGTGCCAGGAAAATGAATATGTTTTCCTGGCACTATAGTGGTCCTTTAACCCCTTAAGGACACATGACGGAAATATTTCTTCATGATTCCCTTTTATTCCCGAAGTTGTGTCCTTAAGGGGTTAATAATGAAATTGTGAATTAGGCCTTATTTTAAGATGATAATGTTATCTGACTTCTGTGGCGTTACCAGCAGTAAACTGGCTTTGATAACTGCTTCAAGTTATCAGCTGAAGACAACCCTCTACCAGCATTTATTGAACTATTCACATTCTTCTCATCATATATTGGGACTCCAGAGGGGAAAAAAAATGGAAGCCTTAATTTTGCCAATTATGTGAATAAACAGTGTCTATTTATTTACATTAGGAAGGACTGAGAAACATACATGGTTGGATAATCACCAGCTTGGAGGAAAGATATCCAAAGACATGCTGAACTCTCTAATGGTAATTTACTTACATGCCTTGAATGAAGATGAAGAAGATGGCTATTCAAAAATAATGAATATACATTTTGTGTGCAAGATTGATTTGCGTGTGTTCTGAGGCAAGAAATAACTCGGAGTAATATTTCAGTGGAGATTGCTTGGGCTGCTATTTCAGTGAGAACTGACACATTTCATCTGCAAATATCACACTTCATTTATAACATTTCCAGCCTGTAGAACTTGAATAAGTTTAACTAGCTCTGCTGCTGTCAAGCATGCTTTTTTTTTTTTTTTACAAAAACAATTTTAAAATACATTTGTTTGCTTTCATGTAGTTGACTAGGAAACGTGTATTAGTTGTTGCAAAATTTGAGCCAAAAAAAGTTTCTGTTTGTTTTTTCAATATGGTAAATAAGTTGGAAAATAAATGTTTTATTGAAATTATACTTTGCTTAGGACATTTCTCATAAGGGTATAACATAAGGAAATGTTAATCATCTTCCAGCTATCATGTCTCCTTGGGGTTCATCAGACATGTGGAGTTGACAAGGTTCAATGCACTTTAGGCAAATGCTCAGTGCTGCCCTAGCTTTGAGTGACATTTGACAAGTCTCTAGTTATGGATCTGGGTGTGATTTTTCAATCTCAAATCAATGCTCCAAGTTCCAAAATACCCATAGACTGAGCAACTTGAGATAGTGAGGGGAAGCACTGTCTTGAATCCTGTACCTGACTGGAGCTGTGGTGTGTGTGATTTGGATAGAAGACAGACTGTTATAATGTACAAATTATTTGTCACTATACTGTAGAACGTGCAATCAAGCCGACAAAATTACAAAAGATTTAGCCAGATACTTTCTCTAAAACCGTGTCCTACATATTTTGACCCTATACCGTTCGTATTGTTCCTCATTCATGGTAACCAATTTGCCTGAGATTAACCTTTTAAGTGCTGGCATTATGCGTATATTACCATACTGAATTGCTTTTTAGGTATCTCAAACTCTGGCCCCCAGACATAGGTGTGCGCCGGGTGTGCCTGGGCACACCTTAATCCCCGCGGCACACCTATGTATTGAGACCGGCAGGGGAGATCTCAGGATCCCCCCTGTCGGCTCATGCAGAGCCGGCGCTATCCGAGCACCGGCTCTGCTCTCAGCCTCCCTCCCCATCGACCCACAGGCAGTGAGGGAGGCAGGAGAGGACCCGGGGAGCTCTTGCCAGCAGCTCCGCCGTGTTCCTCTCGCGAGATCTGAGCGTTGC